GTTATGTTAATTGAGGTCTTGTCAGTGGGAACAACTACAAACTTTTCATGTAGGGCAGCCAGACTTTGGATGACAGCAGGCTGAGACAGAATGGGTTAATTCCAATTCCGTTTCCTCTTTTTAAGTTTCCGCATTCTAACAATGGCAACATCACGCACTGACTTAACCCACTCTGAAAGACATTCAACAGGTTGCTCTTCTCTTTTGGCCCATTTTTTGCATACTCTTCGACAGCATCCATAATGATCCCAAAAGTACAGAATACAGACGGGTGAGCTGTCTCTATGGAAGCAGCCAGTTTGGCAGGCTTCAACAATTAAAGCACAATACAAAGTTGAAACAATTCAAGCGGCGTGGTATGAGGCTACTTGTACAACTCTGGAAGCAACGGTTACCACTATAGCAATGTTGACTGATACAAAGTGCTTGATAAAAGTACCAGGATCTGCACCGAAAAGCCGAAAGAATAAATGAAAGAATAAGGAAGTTGAAATCCATTAAGTCAACTTTGCTTCATTGTTACTACTGTAACATCTTCCAGAATACTCCTTCCTGTCTCTTTTGTCTACAGCAAGCTTCAACACGGAAGCGACCATCGTTGCTACAGAAAGCAAGCAATCAATCCAGAGATCAACAACAATGGAAGCGACCACGGTAGCAAGCTACGACAATGAAAACAATTAGTTCGGATAGAGATTGCAACATTTACTTCGCATACCACTTTAATAAGTTTGTTTCACAAACCAACACTCGACTGTTTTACTAAAGTCAATAAATGCAGATTACAGTTACTGTTTTCGATTAATGTAGATGTATATAAGGGATAAAAAAATGTATAGGTTATTATTGTTGAATAGTCATTTCTGAATTCAGCTTGTGCATCACTGAATCAGTTTATACTTTCATAAAAGGTTTGCAAGAGATTAGAAAAGATCGATATGAAAAGTTTGAACATGTCACACGAGTCACTTGTTTTGGCATTGTTTCTGAAAGACCACTAGCTACTAGCATTATGAAACGTATTTTTAAGGCTACTTGCATTATCAAACATATTTATATAAAGATTAGGAGATTCTTAGGAACCAGTACATAACTGAGCAATCACACTTCTAAGCTGCATTGGTAAACCTTTCACATCTATTCTAATCGCGTGGCCTACACGTGTTTATTGAAATAATCAATATCCGGTTACAAAACACAAGTCGGTTTTCGCAAAGGCTGTTCAAAGGCAGATCACAAGTTCACATTAAATTATTTAATACTCCTAAAAAACAAAAATAAGGTGCACAGCTAAAAACAAAAGAGTTTTATCAGTACATCAAATTAACTTTTACCTTATCTCAATGCTAAAGAAATATACATTTTTTATTGTTATTGTAACATGCGTCTCAGCATCAATGTTTCTATAACCGAAATACAGTAAACTGCGGTTATAACGAACTCAAAGGGATCACTAATTTTAGTTCGTAATAACCGTAGTTCGTTATAAGTATATATACAGCTTATATACAACAAATGGCCGGGACTAAAAAATAAGTTAAGTTATATCGGTCAGTTCGTTATAAGCGTGCTCGTTAAAGACGTAGTTTACTGTATTGAACTTTGATGGCAATAGAAAGTAGTATAGAACAACAGTTTTCTTCTTAACACTGCTTGCGAGAAAAAAATACCAATCATGGTTTGCGTTTTATGACAAGGTCTCGTCATAACTTGCCACTTAAATATCTGTACAGTTGATTTGTTTGAATGCACGTTTGTGACTTTTCTTATGTAGATTTGTAATTTTAGGAATTGAAAATACCCAATATCTAGAAAAAAATACGTTGAGATTTCTATAATGTTTTGCTTCCCTGTAGCACGCCATATGTGATCTATGGTGAATTTTGAGACAAACCCTTAATATATACATTAAAAAACTTATACTGTGTTTCTGAGCTTGAGCTTTTACGTGGTGAAAGTTCAAACGTTGATTGTATACTTTGTAAATGTTAATCATAAATGGATAGAATTTGTTAAACATGTTTTCATTGAAAAGTCTCAGTTATTCCCGGGAAAGACGATCTTAAGTAAAAACGTATTATATTAATCAACAAATGGCGGTGTCTGATTGAAACAAATCATCATATGTGGCCATATATACATTTATTAACGAATTATTTTAAGAACCGAATATTTTGTCTCTGAAAAACAGTAAATGTTGTACTGTATTGAAATGGAGATGTTTTATCAACTATATTTTCATGTGTCCAGTGTTTGAATCAGTAACATCCATAAGCATATATCTCTCACCCTATTATTACAAACATCCAAATATGCTTAAAATGCGCAACCTATTCAACAGAATAGAGTCGGATTGATGAGAATACATTCTGCCCAACCCTTTAACAAAGCCTTCCACTAGTCGTATTTATATCTCCGTCCTCCTCAAAAACCATATTTTATACATGTGTACATAATGTACCTTTCCATCAATTATTGAATACTATGTACATGTAGATAATTATCACATACTCATCCCATGTACCCCTTATCCCGCTTCTAGCAGTCTTTGTGGAATAACGTTCATGTTCTGTTTATTAGATGATGACCAGTGCGTGGCCAATCAAGATTGTCAGAAAATGTCCATCTGATACCATCTGAGGAGCATTGGAAAGCTCCGGTCATATGTGATTCGTGACACTGCAGTCAAAGTTACATGTATGTCATCTGTCATCTCAGACTCCAGCTACAGTACCTCCTGGCTAGTCAACATATCCAAGTGTCACCTTCAACATCCGCAAATTATCAATGACACAGCTGCGAGATCAGTCGTGAAAAACAAGAAATTGGCTCATATTACATCAATCCTCATGAAGCTTCCAAAATTATACAACATACTAGCCTAGACTGCAAATGTTATCAACAGGGCGCCCCGCCTTACTTGTCTGATCTCCTGGTGGTATATTATACACACTATCACACTCACTAAGATCCGAAAATCAGCTACTCTTTTACATCCGAAGAGTGAGGTCCAAGGGATATGGACATAAAACCTTTGCTAATACAGCTCCACTTACATGAAATAACCTCCTAAATCAGATCAGCTATACTTATTCAGGACCGCTTTGGCAAACAACGTCTTTATCAACATACCTCTCGGCTTATAGTCTAAAAACTACTGGAAAGCCATTCAGCTGTTTCCTGAAGTTAACAGTAAGAATGTCTGCTTGGTGTTGTTGGTATCGACAGTGTCTTGTGGACTGAGGCCTTTCAACAAGATATTTATCAGGAATAACACAATATCAATGTTTGTAAATACTGGAATCAGCTTACGATCCCATGTTCATATATTAATCTCAGCGAAATCTACAGAAATAAACATCAATCACTGTCGTGGACTTCAGGGATGAAATAGATGAGGCGGTCTCACTGTAACATTTCATCATGTACTCAACTCTACTAAAATTGTATTTAGGATGCGTCCACAGATTGCTGATAACATTAATCACAATATCTACAATATAGTACAATTTTGTTGTAACGACCGGTTTAAATGTTTAGCTGATGACAAGAAATTCTAATCATTGTCAAATATTTTCTAAAGTACATTTCAAAGTCAAAATTAACTAAAATATACTGTAGAAGTTGTTTTTTACTGTTGTTTAAAACATACACAACAAAGCTTTAGGGATTACAATGGAAAGGACTATACATATGTATGAGAAACAGTTGTACTAAGAATATTCTTGACATGGATAACTTACTAGGATAATGTAGGATAATGCCAAAAAACTGTTATTAGTATTTAATAAATAAACCATAAATTGTATATTTCTGACATATCTTAAAATAATGATAGGGTACCGCCCTAGTTCGCCGTATACGGCTGCATAAGAAGACAAAAAAAAAGAATTGCAAAACTGCAGGTTGACATTTGCAATTCAGTGTCCGGCGCATTAACAACATCCAAGACTTCACATCCGTAACATTGTAAAAGTTAAAAAAAATGTCAAACAGTTGACAACCTGTTTCGGGACTAAAAATTACTGGTCTTAATCTGTGATAATAACACATTCAGCTAGAGAATTTATGCATGGATGTCAACTTTTGTATGATGAGAAACACAACGTTTCTGAGTATATACTTACTCCTTCATCAGGTTCATCAGGTAAAGGAGTAAGCATACACTCCATAATAAAGAAGTTAACATACATAACTCTAGATGTGTATCACTTCTTAATGCCATTCAAAGACTTAACACATATGCAGCTTTTAAACCTGTACCTTCAAGAATTTTAGAACAAGAAGAAGATGCCAATGTGAGTGAATGTGTTCCCTAGACAGTTGAAATAACGACCCATCTCTTATTGTTCTCCCTATTGGGCTCACTCTTCCTTTACTTGAAGGTTTCCACTTTTACTGAATACCAATATCTTTGCTCTATTGACATTGATGTGCAAACCACATTTCTCGCAATGACACGAGCAACATCCTTAAGCTAGATGCAACCATATCAATTTATACCCTTATGATTTTAAGGGTTGTATTGCAAATTGTATGTTTGTAATATCATTTTTTATTGCTAGGTGCACACACACACACACACACACACACACACACACACACACACACACACACACACATATATATATATATATATATATATATATATATTATGTATTGTTATTATCTTCGCTTATTACTCTACACGGGGGGATGATATAGGCATAATTACAAACACTTTGGTCACTAAGAAACGTACGTTGGGTTTAACGCCGTTTTTAACAGTATTCCAGTTATATCACAACGTGTTAGCTTAATGTGGGAGGAAAGCCCGAAGTGATGCAGGTCTCATATGTTTATGGTATGGTGCTGACAAACCTAGAAACATAAACGGGGCGAACCGGGAATCGAACCCACAACCATATGTTTCTAGCTTGCCCAAGAGACACAACCTCACGCAACATTTACAGCATTATCATCACCATCTTCATAATCATCGTTTGTTGAAAGGTACTCACGATGTATCCAAGAATAGTACATCACTCCGGTGACGTTTATCATCGCTGATGACGTCGTGGTGTAGACAAGATTACTGATGTAACATCGCTGATGTTGTCGTTGATAAAAGAAAGAGGAGCATGATGCATCAGAGAGACAAGTGGAGGCACAGTGTATGAGACGAGGAGACAAGGACGGCGTCAGACCCTGTTGTAGAAGGTTCATCGCTACAAAGGATGCGACAAGCTGCAGCATCGTTCTTGTTCGTGAGACACACACATCAACATATGAACCACTGCTGACTGATTGAAAACGTAATCGTATCTTAATCGACTGACTTTAATTTCCATTGGCCATACAGAATACCACACAGAATATATTGATCGGATTGGATTGTGACTTCCTCCTTGAGCGTCTACTTTATTGAAGTAGGTATCCCATGGATACCATTGTGCTCTCCTTCTTGCTGATCTGTTTCTATATGTTTCTTTATGCATATGAATTTGTGCTCAGATAGGCAAAATGGAAACAAAACAATTTGTCTCAATTAAGTTTAAATTAAGATTTAAGTGTATCTATGATCTGATATCATTTAATAACCGTCAACACTGATTTACCCACCAGAACTAAAAACAAAAAAGACCAGACCGCCTCATCTTTCATATTTACATCAATGCATAAAAATTCAGAGTGACTAAAAACTCTTCAGAAGACTGTATGAAAAGAGGGATGACTTCAACTTTCCAATAGTCAACTTTCCCCTTAAGTCGAGCAGTATTCGAGCAGCTGCAGTTTTGGTGTCTACATTTCACATATCTTAAGGAACATTCCAGCAAATTCTTTCTTCGAAGATTTTATTGAGCATCACACGACTCAAAAGTTGTTTTAACAAGGTTTCTACATTCAAGGCCTCAGCAAAACTTTCCAAAAGTTTAATGGTAGATATGTGGAGGACCTTTCAAAATCTGACGCATCAGTGACAAAAATTATGTTTCGGGCAAGACAAGCGCATCTTTTTACGAGCACGTGGTATTAAAACTATTGAATAGTGATTCATGAACACATGTTCATGGAATAGTTGTAATAGTGCAATCGATCAGCTTTGGACAGATATTTTTTATCAATATGGAAAGGGGTGTGTCACTCTTATTCAAATCTGTTTAGTTAATATTAGATATGTAGGGTCCTTCTCGCGTACCCAACACCTGTTATGTTAAGGTTCCAGACCAGAAAAGCGAGATAATCCCTAGGAACAAAACTTGTGACTTTTCTTTTATCACTCGTAGGAAACGGTTGGGACTAGTTTTGTTTATTCGTCAATGTTGTAATATGGCAGTGTAGTTTTGTGTTACACAATTTTGTAATCGTACTTAGTTTCTGTAAAGATTCTGTAGAAGTTCATAGCATTGTGTTTTGACACACACGAGTTATATGAAAACATAAAAGGTGTACGCGTTGTCCAGGTGTAGATCAGGAAGATATACATGTGCATGGGTGTTCGCTCGTCCGGGTTTGATTCCCAAACGTGGGTACAATGTGTGATATTGCTGGAATGTTGAGAAAAGCGGCGTGAAACCAGAATCTCTCACATGTGCACAAAGGGCATGTCAACTCGTAATTTGATACGGGCATGCATATCGCTAATAGTTTGAGAGGATGATAGCTAGAATGGACCTTTGCTAAAGTAACTTCAAGCGGGTGATGATTAAGGCCGTCATCGTCCTTTGAGGGCCGTTTCTGCAAGCGAAATACAGGGTTCTTTTAGACAGCACTCATTTGACGTATGCATTGTCAACTGTGTCGACTGACGGGCTGAATAACAAATGATGCAAATCTAGTAATAATCGGAAGTTGTCTCCCAATGTTAGTATCCACCTGGTAGGGAGGTGGTTCAGTGGTCTAAGGCGCAGCTATTCGAAGTGAAGATTTGCGTCTCTTGGTCGTGCCAGGATGCTGTGAAACGTGGAAGCGATTCTCAAAGTTATAACACATAGTCTTGCCAGTGTGTTCACCAAAATGGTCATCGTCTGTGGCAGGAGTCATCTGGGCTTTTGTCAACAATGTAGGTGAGGTGAAATTGGGTTTAACGTCGCGTCCAAGATTATTGCACTTATATAGCGACGTGCATGCACGTGTATGTGTGTGTGTGGCTGCTTGTACTAGACCGGACTGATGCCGATTTATAGTGCTAGCTCACTGAGATACCATGCCGCAGTTTAACATGAATACCCCACTCAGACACAGTATACTGACTCCGAGCCGACCAGTCCTTGTTTTAGCCCCTTAATGCCGAGCGCCAGACAGGGTAACAACAAGTACAATCTTTTAACGTCTTTTTGTATGACGCGGCCCGGGATCGAACCCTGGACCTTCCGCTCTCCGGGCGGACGCTCTACCACAAGACCACGGAGGCGGTCTCCAACAATGAAGCTGACACACCATGATATATAGTACGGAAATAATGTTCATAAAGAAGCGATAAACACAAATAACTCACTCAGTTCTACATCTGCTTTGCCATATACAACTCCCACCCCACAAGAATATGAATGAGATAGAAAGAGCTTAATGCGATCTCATAAACTCCTAAAATAAGAAACGTATCAGCAGACCTTTGGACCATTTGATGGATGACGGCGTATTGCAAATAGGTGTCCAACTTGACTACATTACACGGAAAACGACATACGTCAAGGTCATGAGAACTTGTGTCAACCATTAACATCAAATACTGCATGTTACCTCATGTCCTTTAGCATAGGGCATGGGACCTTTTTGGTTGGTTTCAGCTGCAACTACAAAAGCATTCATTTTTTATCCAAAACTATGAGCCTGAAGAAAAACACCTTGCGACAATGTAATTTATTTTTGTGGCAGGCAAGTTCTTTTTTTTCAATTGTCTGAAACATAATTAGGTTTTTCAAGAATTTTCGGGGACAATTTACTTGTTTCGATAATATCCAAGCCCCCGCCCAACAATATCAAATTGTAGGTCCACTCCACATCCATTCCACTGTCAAATCCATGATGCGACCTAGCTGTACAGTTCATGGGATCCCTAATGGGAAAGTTTCTGGATGAGCAAAGTAATAACAGGGAATAATTTATTCAGCTTCACATTCAGTTAGTGGAACATTTGTGACAGATTTACTATATATAATAATATAAGGATATACATCAAAACAATACAGGGCTATACATCAAACAGCAGACATTCTGAAACAAGTAATATTGCTGATGCCGTGTGAAGCAATATTTATGCATTCATTCTGAAACAACGTTCAGCAGTGATTTCACGAGCATAACAGATGTTTTGCTGATTCGTTATAGAAAGTATACCTTCCTGTTCAGAATGGGTTACTTGGCTTATGCATCGGCACCTACACGCGGTACCTCATATACTCGGAATGACCTGAAATAAATTATTTTTGGTTGGTTTGTTGTTTAACGCCGCGGTCTGTAAATAATCGAGTCTGGACCTCACAATCCAGTGATTGATATCATGAGCATCAATCCACGCAATTGGGATCGATGACATGCATCAACCAAGTCAGCGAGCCTGACCACCCGATCCCGTTAGTCGCCTTTTACAACAAGCATAGTCACCTTTTACCGCAAGCATGGGTTGCTGAAGACCTATTCTACCCCGGTCTTAAAATAATCAACACAAAGAGCGCGTAATAAATTAATGATGTTAGGGTCGCGTTCCACATGTAACCTTTGGTCGTCTGTAGCAGTCAGTGTTACAACTACATTGAGGCGACCATTAGCCAGCTAAACTGCCAAGAAAAAATGTATACACCTGTGTTTGATTGTGAAAATGAAACAAATAAGAAATAGGTATTCAAAGGTGATGTATTTTATTCTGGTATCAATTTTGTTTTGGAACTAAGGTTTGCAGTGGTGTTTAGGCGAATGTTTTTAGCCCGGTAACCACTGTCGCGTTAATTTCAAGATTTACAGTATATATATATCAATACGTCAACAAAATCATTAAATAGATTGAAATTTTAATTACCTGAATCTCTCATTCAGTTGTAGAATAGGTTTCTCCGTATTTTGACAACCTGCAAAGCATGCACATGCTGTTCGCCTCTCTGTGGCACCTGCTCCGGTGTACTGAACAAAGAGGGATGAGAATTAATGTTGTAATACTGGACATGGAATAAGTGGTCTGCACGGGAGTGTTTTATCAGATGTAGCATGGATAGTATTATTGACATAAAAATCAGTTAACTTCGTATCCATCCCATAAATATGCAAATGCGGTCACCAGGCACAAGTCTTGAAAAGTCAGACCGCCCAGGAAATGGTCAAAACGGCACACAGAAAAGTCAAATCGGCCAATGGTAAAGTCAAATCGGCCAATAGTAAAGTCAAATCGGCCAACAGAAAAGTCAAACGGTCAAAAGTAAAGTAAAAAAGGCCTATAGTAAAGTCAAATCGGCAATAGTAAAGTTAAAACGGCCAATAGTAAAGTCAAAACGGCCAATAGGAAAGTCAAATCGACCAAAAGTAAAGTCTAGTCGGCCAATAGTAAAGTCAAATCGCCCAATAGTAAAGACAAAACGGCCAATAGGAAAGTCCCTTGAAATATAATTATAAAATGATGATGGTTAAAATGATATTCATGTTCATAGTCTGGTATAGTATTCGATTAAACCTTCAGATTCCTTTTCCGTGGATAACTAATGACAGGATTGTCTTCAGTCTACAAATACACACGTACAAGGATATCGTCAACTATTAATCAAATTTCCAAGTAAACAAGTTTTTGCTAATCCGTATGACAATGCTAATATGTGTTCTATTGGGGGTTTTGTTCCGCGTTTTGTTTCTTGTGTTGTGTGTTGTGTTTGTTATTTAGCAATACGTATGTTTGTTTCTCTTTATGAGTGAGTGAATGAGTTTGGTTTAACGCCGCTTTAAACAGTATTCCAGTTATTTCACGGCGTATCAGCTTAAGGTGGGAGGAAAGCCGGAAGTGATGCCGGTCTCAGACGTTTACCACTTCGGTGACACCCACGAGCACGGCAACCAGGAAATCTCTTTATTAAACGACTAAATTAATTTGTGTTCTTGCAGCGAAACATCTCTACACCTTTCTCTATTTCATACGGGTACATATCGTCTTATATAATGAAAGGTGAGCATTCATCAACTTGACAAGTGTTATTTTCACTAAAAACTATTTCACACAAAACGAAATGAATATCTTTACTCAAGCATAAATTGAAACAAACAAATCAAGGTCTCTTTAATGTAACAAATGTTGGGATAACACTTTCTTTGAAAAT